GTTTATATATGAAAAAGAATAATATTACTTTCTTGTTATAAATAAAAAAAAAAATATCTACTATGAAAATAATTTAATTTTTCATTTTATTCTTAATGAGTTTTTTTTAATGGCCACACAAATACTATGACTTATTTAAAACCACAACAACATCATACAAGAGAAATCCCATAAAATGGAGTTTAGGGGAGGATAAAGTATACACAGACCTCACCACTGCTAGGTATATATTTTCACTACCCCAAATATTAAAAACTAAGTTATATATGTCATATAAATTGAAGCGGAGGGAGGTAGTAGCTAGGTTTGAAAGAGAAGGGAGTATATATTATTAATAATACATTGGAATTCTCTTCATCATGCTTAGAAAGGCAGGCAACAACATAAAGAGCAATCATAATGTCTTATTATTCCAGCTTGCTCTCTCTTCTGACTCTTCCCCACCATCATTGCTACTCTTTCTTTATCATTCACCAACCTCATCACCATGATCATTTCATTTCATCAACAATATTACAAGACAAAGACGAAGACAAAGATGAAGATGAAGATGTAGTTGAAGTTGACAATGAACAAGAGTACTACTACTTTCCTAGTTGGAAAACCCTAATTAAGTACTCTAATTAAATCTTCTCCAAAAATAGCTCTTTGTATTTATGGGGAATCAAGCATCATGGTCCGATTGATAACATATGTGTGTTCCTTCAACTCTTTAATTTTAAGCAATTTATTAGTATTCCTTTTTATTTTCTTTCCAAAAATTTCTTTTGTTATTCTTATTTTTGGATTTGCTAGATTGAGAGCAAAAACATAATTCATGATGAGTATCTTGTTGTTTCATTAAACCTAGTAATTAATAAAAATCCTCTTTCTCTGACTTTGAAAAATTAGTTATGCTTACCATCTGAGCAACCCACGGATCTAGTTGCCATGCTACTAATTAGGGTTTCAGTGTAACTTTTAACATGTAAAAATTAAAGTCCCTTCTTTTATTCGTTTCGATCTGTTTGAGATTTGAGAAACTATGATACTAGTAATTAAAATTAAATATATTACCACATGCTTTCATATGGTAAAACATGAAAAGGTTTATGAATACATACTGTTTTGTACTTTATATGTGGCGCTAGCATGGCTTTATGTTAACTGTTAATTTCACTGTCTATATTCTCTCATCCCTTCAAAAAAAATGAGTTTTCCTTTTCATGGACAGAGATTGGTAGAGAATATTTGTTTCTTTTATCTGAATATTCAGTACTATACTACTATAACTTTCTATTCTTATTCTTATCTTTTCTCCTTTTCTTTCTTCCCACAAGAGGGTACTAAGGAGTTTTTTTAGACGAGTAACTTTAAAGATGTCATAGTTTTATTGAGACTATATATAAGTTAGCATTTGATCATAGATTTTGGATCAAATTTTAAAAATATATCTTCAAAACATCTGTTTGATCATAGATTTTGAGAACCTGTCTTCAAATTTTTTTTTCAAGTTCCAAAAATGTGTCTAGACCAATTTTTTAGAGAGATTTCACTTTCACTTAGTTTTTAAAAAAGAAAAAATTCAAATAAAATACATGTTCAAACAACTTTAAGTTTCAAAAATCACAACCTTAAAGACTCAAATTTCAAATTCCAACTTTAAAATCTATGATCAAACAGAAACTAAGACTTCTGAAATTATATTTGTAATTTTGGACATAAAAATGTGATATTTGAAATTAAATTGCAAAAAGTATATGGCTGAAAATTAGTTGAATTATGTTTGGACATCCATTTAACTTTTTTAAAAAATAAAAAATTGTGAATGGAAAAGATCTCTTGAAAAACTGATCTAATATTTTAAAAAAATTCAAAAACAAATCAATCTAATGTATATCAAACATTGCTTTGAACTTTTTTTTTTCTTTCAAAAACAACAAGGAATAAGCAGTTCCTAAATATGTTACTCGCACCGACCACCGTGTTTGAATTTTGAGAATCAAACAATTAATTTTTCTTTGATCACTAATCATGTTTTTCTTTCTCTTGTTTTGGCTTTGCAAGTTCCTGTTGTGCATTCCTGTCCGATCGTTTTCTTCAGATTATCTTAACGGTGGAAAAGCGCCAATAGGAACCATGATTTGTAGTAATTAACTTGTTTTTATTGATTTATAATAATCGATAAGATTTGTTCATAAACCTTTAAAATACATTGAATTGTTAATTATATGACTTATGATATTTCTTACGTAATTTCTAAATATATAAATTTTATTTCTTTACGACATCTAAATTTACTATAAAATTAAAAGATTTAACTCTAAAATCACAAAAAAAATGGGAGAAGGGAAGAATAACATATTAACATGTATTTGAGTCACGGGAACGAAACTAATGAAGACTTATGTCACGTGATATGGAATAGAAAGAATAGTTTAAATTTGGTAGCTCATGTAAAATTGTGGTTTGAGTATTTAAAAGGAGATACAGTCAGAATTTTTATTAAGATGTTCAAAAATAAATAAAGAAATCAAGAGAATTTCATATACAATATATTTTTTCATTAAAAAAAGGTTCAAATGAAATTTTTACCCTCCGCCCCGAATAGAACTAATATAATTGTTCTTTACCAACATTCCCTTCACAAATTTCTAGATGAGGAAAGTCCTCACCACTCACCAACTAGGTAACTAGCTAACCATCAAAACATAAGTAGATCTTGAAACTGTAACTTAAAATGGTAACTAGCGAAGTCTATTTTAGATTCTCTACTGTTTTACTAATATTTTGCATTCCATAGATTTCAACTGTCCAGAAGTTAAAACAATGTTTATGATAATAAAGAAGTAAATCTTGATCCTAATTCAATTTTAAAGGTTTGTCTTCTTGTACGTTTATGGCAGAATATATTGAGCTTAAACAATATAATATTGGAGCTTAACATCGAGCAAATTAAGAATTGAAATATGTACGACTCTCATAACATAATAATTATTGGATTTAATTCACTTCGAGATGACTAGATATATTTAGGAAAACCCAAAGTTTTGAATTCTTTGGTACGATCATGCATGTTTCTTAATCGAGTGCATTACGTAATCACCAATCGCCATCAATTTATTTTGCTAATTCTAGCTCATGTTTTATTAATCGTTGTAGTGTCTAACCAAATTAAAGTTAACCTTAAGATGCATAATGCTGAGTTGATTATCCACAAGGTCACTCAACTAATTGAAATTGTGCAAGAAAAATTGTTTTTCTTTGTTCTGTAGCAGAAAACAATTAAGGGAAAATTACGCGGTTAAGCAAACTTATACTACTTAATTACTCATCAGAGCTATAGTTTGCTATAATTACCACTCGCGACTAATTATACATTAATTACGTGGGCTGACTTTGAGTTTGTATAATTAGCCACGTTTGTATTTGTATAATTCGCCAAAATATACAAATACATATGTATAATATACAATTATCTAACCGATATACATATACAATTCACCTTTCTCCCACTCTCTGCCCTCTCTCGCTCGCCTCTCTCCTCCCTCTCCCAATCTCGCTTGCCATATATACAAATGCATTTGTATAATATACAATTATCTAAACAATATACATATACAATTCACCTCTCTCCCACTCTCTGCCCTCTCTCGCTCGCCTCTCCCAATCTCGCTTGCCATATATACAAATACATATGTATAATATACAATTATTTAACCGATATACATATACAATTCACCTCTCTCCCACTCTTTACCCTCTCTCGCTCGCCTCTCTCCTCTCTCTCCCAATCTCGCTTGCCTCTCTCCTCCCTCTCCAGTCTCGCTCGCCTCTCTCCTCCCTATAACATGTAGCTATGAATTGTAATTATCAAACTATAGCTATGGAGAGTAATTAGGCTATTTTTGAGTGGCTATATGTGAAAGGTCCTCAACAATTAAACCCGATTATCAAGTACTATGAATATTTTAAAAATTATATTCACATATATATTTTAATTGAGACAACTTAATCTTAAAATTAAAAGAACAAGGGAGGCCTAACTCCTTTTTTTTTTTTTTTTTATGAATACATGACCAATCATTGAGTTTTAATTTCTTATGTGTGCTCAAACACATCAATTTTAAAAAGTTAAGAGTATAATATTTATATTACACAAGTGGTAGACTATTGCATGTTATGGGGCCAAACATTACTGAAGCAATGTCGATTAGTGATTTATGCTTTACAAATTGTTGTTCAAAAAGGTTGGAGAAGATCCCATATGCTTTAGATGCAAATGAGTTGGTGATGATACTACAGGGTTCGATTGTGCAATTTTTTCGTCAAGACATTGATTATTAACATTGAGATAGATTAATGAAGGCAAGTTAGTAATTTTTCTTTAATTAGATGGAATTAGAAGAGATACTCTCTTCGTTCACTTTTACTTGTTCATTTTGAACTTTACATGTCCTTAAAAAATAGTAATAATTAATATAAATACTTTTACCATAATGCCCATGCTATTGATGTATAATCTTAGATTTTGAGAAATGATTTGAGAAATAAATAATTAATGTTAAAAAAAAAAAAATTTATATTTTTATGATATATTTTAATTAATGTCATTAACTAATTTATTTACTTTGGACATGAGGAGTAAAGGAACCTTGATATATATTTTTTCTTTTCTTTTTGGATAGATATAATTGTACATTGAAAAAAGAATGCATTAAGGAAAAAATTGAGAAAAAGAGTCAAATAACCTTTTTTTAACTCCTCCTAGAACTCTTACCTTTTTTACTCTTTTGATGACTGGAACTTACATATTAGAGCTGGAGTTTAAAGTGAGAGACATTTATCATCCGAACAAATCTTTGAAGAAGTTATTCGAAACAACAATTATTTCGAATCAACTTTTTAAAACATCAGGACGGGAGGGGGTAAGATAGGAAATCAGTGTTGCTAGTCAAGATGAGCTTCACTGGCATATAGTCCAAATCTGGCTGAAACGCATAGAATTAACCGCTTCCTATCTAGGCCCCTCCAACTCCAAGTAAGCACTCCGAAAATGTTACTTTGCGGAGGCCGTAGATTCAATTTATTGGCGCCAACAACCCCACTCTCATTTGGGACTTTCATCAAACACCTTGCAGCTTCAAAATCCTCCAAGCTTTCACTGACCGCAAAATCGTTTACCTCCAGCACAAGCTCAAAAGTCTTCAGTTCCTCCCGTTTTGAAGCGCTAAATTCGCGTCAAAAAGAACAAGTGCATCTCTACATTGATTCCCTCCTTGAATGGAACCAGGTTCGCCATTATCCTTTGTGTTTTATGTATACTTTTGTGCTACCAAATTGTGTATGCTCAGATTAAGTATTTTATACCAGAAAATGAATCTGACTGCCGTAAAGGAGGAGAGCGAGGTTATGGAAAGGCACGTTGAAGACTCACTTTCAATTATTGAACCGATTCGGACTTCGTATCTCTCACATTGTGGACCTTCGTCTGAGAATCTCAATCTCGTTGATGTTGGAAGTGGTGCCGGGCTTCCTGGAGTAATTTTGGCCATTGCTTCTCCAGGTAGTTATTCACTTTTTTTCTTGACAATGTCAAGTATCAACATCTCAAAAATAAACTGAAAATTGGCTATATAGAATATGTTGTATTTCTGCATATTCACTTATTTGAACTAAACAAACAAAGGAAGGAAAGAAAAAGAGATGGATTAAAAAATGTGAGATTTCATTTTGTTGAATGGAACAAGCTGCTTTTACTGGTTGAGTAGTTTGTTAAGAAATTGATTTACAGTGTTATTAACATTAAAGTTTACCTGTTCAAATCCATCTCATTCTATTCTCTCCATACTTCTTTCACTATCTTCCTTAATTTCCGACTTTAGTATGATCCCTTAATGAAGTTGTATGTGCAGGTTGGAAAGTGACCCTTCTGGAGTCTTTAAATAAGCGTTGTTCCTTTTTGGAGCACGTGGTTAGTCAGATTGGTCTATCAAATGTTCAAGTTAAAAGAGAAAGAGCTGAGGTTAGTAAAACTCGAATCATCAGTTAACATGTCTTTTTAACTATTCATTTAGTAACATGTCAGCCGAATGTATTCCTTGCAAGGTCACATTTATTTTGTTTTCCTGAAACCAGACGGAAGTTAAGTTCCATGGGCTAGGTTTAATCATTACATTCTTCGACTCCAATCTGTAGTTTCTCTTTAATACTTATATGTTTTAAACAACTACAGAAGTATACTTTTGGTCAAATTTGAGTAGTTTCCTATTTTCCCTGATGGCCTGATTGTTTTTCTTTTCAACCTCATCAGTAGCTATCGATCCTTTAAATCTTACCATTCTCAAAAATAAAAAGAGAGCAACTGATCCCTGACTTAACTTCCTTATACTGTAGCTTATCTGAGTGGTTAAACTTTAGGAACTAATGTATGATCTACTGCTGTTAAATATCAATAGATTTACCAAATTGGTTTTTGTATTCTTCTCTTAAGGAGTTGGGATCTCACATGATCTAATTCTCTCCTCAAATTAGGTTGTGCACAGTACAATAGGCTAAATTCTGGTATACTGAAGATCATCTTCATGCCTCCTTATGTCAAAATAATCACAGCAGAGTCCATTCTTTTATTCAATCCATATTCTCTGTCGTTTAGTGAAAACATCTGATGGGTTTATCTCCTTGTGTAGGATGCTTAATGTATCAATGTCTTGGGAGGAAAGTTCTACATTCTTGCTCTTTCTGCTAGTTATGCATGCCCTTAGTTTATGTTGTGATTTTGTGATGCATGACAAACTAAAATTTGCTGGAATTTGATGCCCGTTGTTCCTCCTATTATAAACTAGTATCATCTTTTAGATTTTCTTCAGGTAGTACGTTTTTTAAATATTCACTTAACTTGTGGACATGAATCATGATGCACATTCTGAACTTTGGAATAGGACAGAAGCTAGGGCAAGACGTCAGCTTCAGAGAGTCTTTTGATGTTGCAGTTGCCCGAGCAGTTGCAGAAATGAGAATTTTAGGTAAACGGATACATATTTGTTTCTTCCTCTTTGTTTTATGTTCTTTAATAATCCTTGAGATGGTTATCTGTTTCTGTCATTTTGCAGCTGAGTATTGCCTTCCTCTAGTCCGAACTGGTGGTATCTTTGTAGCTGCGAAAGGTCATGATCCTCAGGTTTGTTTCTCTTATGATTTATAGTAATAGTTTTAGTTACTTTGTCTGAGACAGATGAGCAGAAGGCTTAGCTCTAGTTAAATAATGTGTTGTTGGATTCCTTTACCCAAAAAAATAATAATGTGTTGGATTCAAACTTGATACCTCATGGTTCTCCTCCCACTTTGTTGACTAGTAGGCCACACCCTTTGGTGCTATTGAGAACGTATGATTGCATCTTTGTTCATCTCCTTCTTCATTCTATTCTCCCGATATAAAAAATTTCTGCAAGTCTTGTATGTGATTTAAAGTTGCTTTTTTTTTTTAGTGGAGGGTCTTTTGATATCTTTCCATGTTTCGTTGTGTTTAAATACTCTACACTCTTTATAGTCCTTGTTTACTTTGTCTTCCTTGAAAGTTGAAACCCAAGGCATGTAACATTTACTGGTTAACAGAAAAAAGAAGCAGGTAAACGTTAATTATTGTGCTAGTTCAGAAATTAATATTCTTGCATTACAGGCTCACGAAGTCAAGATTTTAGGCCTTAAATGAGCCTTTTGCTGCAGTGTTTTCTAACCCAAAGAATATTTGACTTAGGGCTGCTGCTTAATACCAGCTACTTGTACTAACACACATTTAAAAATATCTGTTGTTTAGATGGGTTTGCCATCGTATTAGAGAATCATATCGCAGTCCCATAGCAAAAATGTCATTTTTGGCTCCTTGACTGTGAGGTGTTCTGCAATTTTGGACATTGAGTATTGTGTTTTGGTTCTTTGGCTAAAAGGCATTTTGAAAATTTTGTTAAATATTTTCTGAAAACTCTTGAGCGTAATCCATCCCTAATATGTCGAACCTATTGTTTCTGGTTAATTTACAAAGTGAATGGATGTCTGTAGCCATTATGTCATGGTACGGGTTTTTGCTGCAATTTTGTAGTGGGATTTCATTCAATTTGAATGATTGTAGTGGTATATCATATCATATGCATTTATAAACAAAATTTTCAGCATGCGCTTTATTTCACTCATCTAAGTCCAGTTTTTTCCCCAGAAAAATTAAAGGATGAAATTTGCCTAATGCCTATAATTTTAGAGACCAAATGATCAAGAATCTATGGTTATGTACCAAAACGCAGAACACTACACTTGAGGGTTCAAAAATGTTATTTTTTCTCCTTAACACTTAGAGTGGATCTGCGGTGGCAATCTACTGAAAATGCAATGTGTATCATTGAAGAAATGCAACCCAAAATGAATTTGTAGGATATAAGATGATTTGCATTTGAGAAGAGAAATTATTGGCATATATTTGCAGCAACTGCTCTCTGACTTTCCTACTCATTGACAGGAGGAAGTGCAAAGAGCAGAGAGAGCAATACAACTGATGGGAGCATCTCTATTGCATATTCGTTGTGGTATTGTTTTCTTTCACATTGTAGTTACAAAAGGATGTGACCATGGTTCAGAGTGGTTCCTAGGTTTATGAATTTTCATGCAATTTTATGTGATAAAACAAGCTTCTTAAAAGAAATTATAGAAGAACTAGATAAAGTTTCTGTGTGAATTATTTCTGACTTCATGTGATAGTTGGTATTCCAGATCCAAATCTTCCTGTTTCTGAAAATCATCATTTTCAAAGTTTGAGGTCAATGTGTCGGACTTTCTCTACTTGAAGGATCAATTATGAGCAATTTCTCATCTTCTTAATTATAACTTTGAAAATGAAGACATCTGATATCATGTTGTTACGTCTCAGTATGATTGGTCCTGGTCTTACACTTGACCGAGGTTAACTTGCTCTGAGTAGTTTTCCGGATGAGCAACTACATTCTAAAATGTCCACTCATTTCTCACTTTGTTCATTTGTTTGTTTATTTTGTAATACAGTTGATTCCCACAGTAAACATGGACAGAGAACTGCCATAATTTGTTTGAAAGGTAAACCTACCCCCAAGAAATATCCTCGAGATCCAGGAACTCCAGCTAAGATTCCACTTTGAGAGGAATGTTGTCATGCCTCCGTATCTCCCAATTGTACAGTTAATGTATGATAGAGGGAAGTTTGTATTTTAGTATCCTTTCTCTTGAGTTTTACATGTAGAAACACTATACTCATGGATGGCTAGAAGCAGTACTACTAGTTCCTTTGTGAATTGCTTACCTCATTATTTGAGAAGGTACACCACACAGATTTGGCTTAAATTCTATCCATTAAGATGAATGTATATTACAACCACATAATACTTCTATTATTTTGTAGCCGAATATAGGCATTAACACTGGCCATGTTCCAGTTGGTGATTCAATGTCATACATGTTTGCTGCTTTTTGTTTTGTGATGTAAGAAGATAGCTTCAGTTTGACATATTCAGGACTAAAAATATTTCACAGTAGGTTACCTGATCATGTGGCTGCTATAATTGTGTGAAGAATTGAACAAGTCTCGGCTCATTGGAATTGTGTTACTGTGGCTAAGATATAATTTGTGTACTTTATTAGAATTTCGTTGCATCACATTGTGGGGCATGCGAACCTGTGGTTGGAATTTGGATATTGTTGACCTTAAATTAAACTATGTTTTTTACCTAACATTCTTTCCCACTTGTATTAAGAAAACTAGGCCCATTCTGCTTATTAAAAATATTATTCGCCCTTTCAATACGAATAATTATATCTATAGGTATTTGTTTGTTGCCTTGGAGGAAACTTGTTTGATTTGTTCGTGAATACAGTGCTAGGTTGGTGTAAAAAAGGGACTACCGTTGTGTATGTGCAAAGATATCAATGTCCCATCAATAAGATAATTAAGGTTGAACCTGTGGCAAAGAGTTTACCTACCCAGCCGTGTGGATTGAAATGGGAGAGGGTTTCAACTTTCAATCTGAGAAAAAGACATGTTATTTGCATTTTCTTCCTTTCCCTATGGTTAGTTTTGTATAGTCACGTCAAAGCATTAATCATCATCATGAATATCTTAGTCTATGCCAACATTTGATTAAACCATATTAAAAGGATGGTACATGTACTTTTGGTCTCTCTCGAAATTCTAAAATTCAACTATAGAATAACTTAATACTAGGATAACCAGCACCAGAATTAGGCCAAAAAGAAAAGTTACAAGTCACAGAGGGGTTTGTGAAACTTAAGCTAAAAATTGATCACAAAATATAGGACTTTATAGGGGGTAATTTATAGAAAAGATCAACCAAAGTGGTTTCCAGTTTAAGAAGCATAATCATTTCATAATGGTAGCCTTTTTCAATAGAATAAACCTGCAATACAATCCAACTAAAGAAGAAAAAAATTGAAATTTTGCAGATATTTTCTTCTCTGGGTCACTTGCCCAACAATCTATAATGCAAAATATAATATACAGATATGTTAACTGGCAAATCTTGACCATGTGCATCATGCAAACAGCTTTAGAGAAAGGGAGCATAAATCTTCCAAACCATAGTTTCACCATCCAAACTAGCAGTGTATAGGATATATGAAGAAGTTGTATCAGATGGAATTTGTTGATCACTAGTCACAGTCAGGCATTTCACTGGTGCACTGTGCCCTGAAATAACACTAAGACAAGAGTAGCATCTCTCAACCCCTCTCCATACTCTTACTGTTTTATCTGCTGAACCACTGCACACCAAATCTGCGACGACAGCTAGACATAGTATGGCCTTCTTATGACCCCTGAGTGCACCCACCAGCACCATGTCACCACTTTCATCCTTCTCCCATACTAGTATCGACCTATCACAAGCACCCGAATATAAAACAGAATCAGTACTAGTACTACTTCTCCCAACTGCTAGTGCATTTACACCTGATCTGTGTTTCTCTAGTGTACAAACTAGTAAATGTTTTTTCTCTTCCTTTCTCCAAATCTTGATTTTCTTGTCAGCTGATCCGGTGAAAACATCCCCGTCTTGTGATATTTCTAGTGCGTTGATCGCGTCATCATGTGCATTTGCTATTGATTCCAGGCACTTAAAATCATTGGTTCGCCAGATTTTAAGTGTTCGATCCCATGAAACAGAGTAGAGGACTGACTCGTCGTTGGAAAGGGCTAGTGCTGACACTGTGTCAACATGGTTCACCCATGTGGACTTCTTGTGGCGCCTGATCTGAACATGGTTTTTTGGTACCATAAATTTAAAGGCTCTGTCACTAAGTAATGGTAGAGTTGCCAAATGAACTATTTTAGGAGTATCCGTATCATGGTTTTCGATTCTCCAGACTCTGATTTTGTGATCTTGATGAGCACTAAAGACCTTATCAGCCAAAATTACTAGAGACTTCACAGCACCTTTCCCTGCTATAACCGTGTCGATTATTCCAGCATCTATTGTGGAAGTTAGAGCTTTTTGCTCCCACATACAAATTTCTTTATCAGAAGAGCCAGTAAAAAGGTATTTCCCACCAAGTACAAGGGAAGATGTATAGGAATTCTGTCCCTTAAGATTAGCTATGCATTGATGTTGAGTTTCAAGATTACGCGAAAAACTCTGATCATGACATAGTGACTTGATTGAAGGAACTGAACGAAAACTTGGCTGTGAATCTACTTTTGAGCTATTTCTTGAACATGAAGTTTGGTAAAAAGGCATCATTCTTCATTCCCCTGAACTCTAGTATATGACTATGTTTTTATGAGTGGATCATATAATATGCATTTTTTGGTGTCTCTGTCTTTGTGAGGAGTGAGGAGTAGAGAAATTAAAATAGGTTTCCTTAATAGAAAATGGAAAGGTACTGTTACTATTTGTTTCTTGAAAAAGTTCTATATATTGTGTAACTTTTGTTGATTGAGAATGTTTTGTCTACATCAATGACACTTAAAGAATTGGCCCACAAAAAAAGAATTGGCCCACAAAAAATAAACTAGACAAAAGTTACTTCGTTAATTGTCTAACAAAAGTTTTCAACTTGCATGAAGCAAGGTTTGTTGGAAGAAGAAACAGTAAGTCTTAATAAAAATATATATAGTATGAATTAGGTACAATTAAATGGCTGACTGGCAAATTTGAAAAGCTAAACCATTTAGCTATTTCATTATTCCCCTCTAATTTGGATGATAATTGTTGTCTTTTGTATTTAGAATGCTGATGTGCCAAAACAAGGTCAAAATGTGGACTCCCAGAAACACGGGTGAATCTAGTATGATGGGTTCACCTGAGCTCAATAACTTTGCCCCAACCTTGTGTATGTGTTAACAAAAATCCACCAGACACGTATAAATAATAGATATCGAACCTAGTAAATCAAATATATTGTGTTAGAATCCGAACTCGAACCCATAATGTTCATATCTTGAATTTTACTCTGTCTAGAAGAATTCAAAGGTAATATTAGTGTCTAGTCAATGAAAGGGACTTAGCTAGTTACCTTTCATTTTAAAAAAGTGATTGGTAAAGGAGCAAAGTTAGGTACTCTCATTAACCCACCAATCTTTCTGTTCTCTTTTTAATTATTAATTTCTTAAATCTTTTAAAACAAAAAAAGTATATGGAGAATTTGCTAACTTAGTTGTCATGATAAATTATTATGTGAAAAGTTTTCCATAGAGTGTTTCTGCTCAGCATCTGATTCAAATTATGGAGGACAGTTCTGCTTATCTGGTTGTGCCTAGGCACTAAAATTTGCCAGCTTCTCAAGTGGCATTTAATTAAATCATAAACCTGGAACATGAACCCACCTACATTATCTTATTTTTCTAATTTTACCTTTTTTGTATACATATCACATGATTTACTTAATCTTATGTCCCAAAAGATTATTAGTAGGCATTTGATCATATGATTTATTATGGAAATAGAAAAAAGTGATTTGAAAATAATATTTAAAAATTGGAGTTGTGCTTAACCATGAAATGAATTAGAGTTGTTTTTGGATTTTGTGAGTAATTTAGAGTGAAAACAGTTTTTGTTATTTTTGGCATTTCTGAAAATTTTGATCAAACTTTTAATAATGTTTTTAAGTGTATTCTTTTCTCAAAAGTGTTTTTCAAAAAATTTTTTTGGTGAGGAGTAGTTTGTGGTCGACGAGTAAATCTTAAAAATACTAAAGAGCAACAACTAGTATTTGGCCAAACTTTTAAAAGTTTTTCTAAGTGTATTTTACTCAAAAGTGATTTTCAAATCGTTCCTGCTACTCAACATAAACACATATTTTTCCTCAAAAACTTGTCAAATATCTTGGTTTTTTTTAAGAATTAAGTATTATTTTTTTTGCCTCTCAAAAGCTTGGCCAAGACAGAAGGAAGAAGTCAATGAATAGCTAACTATAGGATAGTAGTAATAATAGAAGGCATGGAATTGAAAGTGATTCAAAATATAGGACAATGAAGGCCCTACCTACCAAATTAGGTTTTTGCTTAAAAAATACAAGACAATAATTTCTATTGGACTGTGTCACTACCTAAAGGACCTCATAAGGAAAACTACTACTATACTACTACTATCAAGTGTGTACAATTTCTTGGTTAGATATATTTATCAAACATGACTTGTAATAATTGGAATAAATTATGGATCTGTTGTTCACTTGTTTGCAGGAATATAGGGAATTGATTATTTGAATAAGTAGCATATATAAATCACCAATTATCATAATAATATTTATTTATAATCTAGACAAATGCTTTGAGAAGTGGCAATAGGGGTGACGAAGATAAAAATGGGGTGTGTTGGAGGACGAGAATGAAATAATCAATGTAAAATGTTATTTGTGGAACTTGTTTTTCCTATTTCCATTAGAGAAGTTATTTTCTTCACTTTTAAGAAATAAAAAATTTGTTTTCCTAGCAAAATAAAAAAATCAAAAAAATTGACTAATAAAACACAAAAAAATAATAATTAAAAACTACATACCAAACACACCCTAAAAACATATTTTTGTATTAGAAATGGACTATTCACCCCTTCCTTCTCCTAATTCTTCTTTTCTACGAAAAAATTAAGTCTTGACTGACCTACCTCCACAATCCCCTTTTTACTTTAGTTTAATTGTAAATTTAACTCATAATTAAAGATCTTTTGTTATTGTGTTCCACATCAAAATATCCAGGAATATATATATATATATATATATATATATATATATATATATATATATATATATAATATGATACAGAGAATGAGTCTGCACATCTCTTAATCAGAGATCTCGGCTTCGTGTCTCAATGTATATGATTTTTTTTTTACAGAGAGTGGTTCCTCCGAATGAGCCTATGTAGTGCAGGTGCTAATCCAAATTACTCGTAATTTAATATGGATATCGAACGTTACCAAAAGAAAAAACCAAAATAATAGTAGTAATAATTAATCCATCAAACGAAGTCTTGACTTCACACGTGAGCTTCTTTTTCCAAAGAAAATGGATTACGAGCTCTGCTTACGCGACAAACATGAAGATCGACTAATCAAAGAAAAAGTAAACTTTTGCTTAACGGTATGACATTAGCAGATTTCAGTGTTTGTATCTCAGGATTTTTACACATCCAAAGCAATTTAAATTATGTTTATCAAGTACTTAAAAATCATTAACTACCCAAAATATAACAATATATTCATTTGTACACACAACAGGAAAAATAATCTCATACAACTATATATTTGCAATTTGGATAGAAAAAAATGCTCTAAAAATATTTGTGTTACATTTTGACACTTCTCTGAAATAACACAGTTATTATTAGTAGTAAGTAAGTATTTAAACGTCGTCGTCGGAACTATTTTAATATTTTTTTTAGTGAAACCAATAATAGAAAAAAGTAACATAGTAAGGCTAGTATTATAGAGTCACCTACGTTGTGGTGTAAGATTGCTTCATCATTAATCAAGATTTTAAATTTGAGCCTTGAATATGGAGTAAATTTCAATTGGAAGCGCGATGCGGACTCCAAAATAAAAAAGAAGGTATTATAGAATCAATACCAGGGGTGTATTAGGTACAAAGTAATATATTATGCTTTATTTTATTTTATTTTAAAAAAAAAAGGAAAAGTAAGTGATTTATATATGATCTAGGCATGGGGTGACTGGTCAGGGTCTAATTTAGCCTGATTTGTAGAATATAATACTTAACAATTTGGTATTTTATTCCACAAAAATTAGGCATCTTAGCTAGCTAAATATAAAAATGGGATTAATTTAGTATTGTATTCCACAAATTAGGCATCGCTCTAAAGTAGATTGAATCTTCAACATTTATTTGCTTTAACTGTACGAAAAATTATGCCCATCTCATCCAAACGAAAAAAAGAAGAAGAAGGTAATAAAACTAAAGGTGACAAAATTAATCCACAAAAAACATAATTGGCCAATAAAGGGAAAAAATAGTTTTATTTGATACTAAATAATTATAAAAGAATAAATAAAACAATTTATAAAACTTAATAAGAATTGAAATGTGTTCGGTCTAGAACAATATATATTTCGACATATTTTAATCCAAGTAATTTTTGATAATTCATGTACAATTCATTGTACATTTTGATCTGTTCAAATTCAGCGGAATCCACTCACTTGACGACACCTCCGGATGAAACGCACCGGCCTAGCAAATCGTTGGCAAACGGACACGAAGATATGGATGAATTGATGAGGCCTTGACAAGTATCCTAAGCAATCAAGAGATAGGTTGATAAAAAACAAAACTTGCCTCCCAATTTGTTAGTCTTAGGTTAGGTTTCTTAAACAGTACAAAAAGTTATGCCTATATCTCCCCACACTCATTATTTTCATTCATAGGCTGATCGATATGACTATTCGACTGGAAATTTAGCAAACACCTGGCCTCTATTATTAGGTTTATGTCACTTTATTTATAAACATTTCTAGGGCCCTTTAGTCGTTAGTGTTGGTGTTGATTGTTATTCCTGCAGATCTTGTTACAAAAAGAAACAAAAATAACAACAAATAATTATAATTTTGAGCCATAGAAAATTGTGTTTTTTTAAAATAATTTAATTCGCTCACAGTTGCTTTTAAGGATTGTATAAATTCCTTCCACGATAAACGGAACACTATTCTACGTATAATAAACAATTAAAATTACAGAACTTCAGGAAACTCAATAAATTGATTTTTTTTTTTTTTTGTCTTTTTCAATTGTTTAAGAGTTAGAAGAAGTGCTTCTGTATATTAGCACAAAAGTTCTCTTCTTCCTCACTAATGAGGAAAAAATAAACTTTGTTCAAATTTTATTTTTTCTCCATTTTATTTTTCATCATTTCTTAATTCACATTACATCTTATTTTTAAAGCTTATACGAGTATTTTATTTTTTTACCGAAAACACAACACTAATTGCTCTAAGTAGTAGACAAGTAGATTATACAATTATCAGAGCAATTCTTTTTCTCAGTCTTAGTAGCTGACCTATAATTTTCACCGAGTGGGTTCAACATATAAAAAATAAATATAACTTTTAAATATTAAAAAGAAAAAAACGAAGGCTTAAATATTGATAGTCAGATTCAAACTCGGGTCTAATGGAAAAAATTGAACCCCTTTACCAGTAGGCTAACGTTGTAATTGTGTGAGTGGAGTCAAAATTTAATATATAGCTATATAATTTCAAAAACTGATTGACAACAAAATAGATTT